CAACTTGTTCCAGGCCCGCGCGCCACACACGCACACACGCGGGGAACACACACACACACTCACACACACTCACGCACACACACACCCACGCGCACACACACACTCACACTCGCACATCCTGCCGCTGCCCCCTCGGGCGGCCTGGGCCCTGGGCGCACACTCAGCCACGGCCAAGCGCGCACCCCACTCCCCACATTCTTAGACACGCAGCCAGCGCGCACGGACACACTCACACACTCACATCCGCTCCAGACACGCTCCTACACACGCGTTCCCGGCACACTGGGCATTCACTCGGACCCACACCGCCCCGGGCGAAGCACACCACCAACCCCAGACACTCCCACACGTACCCACCGCGCACACAGCGCACGGACACACACGTTCCGGGCCCGTTCCCACGCCTTCACACACGTACATAGATCTCACATGCACACACACCACACACTCGCTGGCAGAATCCACAGAGCACTCCCGTCACAAGCGTAACACGAACACACAACACATTGTCAGACACACAACAAACAGCACTCCCTGCCGCGGCACACAAAATGCAAAACAAATGCAACACATAGCAGATACAACTCCAGCCACACAACCAAACTCAGACGCACACACAACAGACACACAACCTACTTGACTGCACAAACACTGAACATTGGCGGACACACACACCCTCAGTACATACCCAATGCCTCAATGCGCTCAACGGTCACCCCAAGGAACTCGTGGATACACAACACACACAGCACCTTTTCTTGCACACACATCTCATGGATACACAACGGTCGCAGGCACAGGATCCCGTGAGCACAGGATCGCACATCCAACACTCAGACACACACAGGGAGCGGGCTCCGAACGCCCGGTCGCCCCAAACTCACACTTTCTTCCGAGCTACGCCACGGCCCGTGGACTCCGCAGGGCAAGCTCGGTGCGACCGGCGCGCACTTACCTGCGGGAGTCTCGGTCTCCGGCGCACAGAGCTGGAAGGTGAGCGCCAGGACCAGAGCCTGGGCGCGGGCCATGG